AGCCGTGTGATTGTAATTGAAGACCTGTCCTGTTGAGAGAGCAGGTCCAGAGAGGGGAGGGGGCTGGGTGTACAGACAAGCCTTCAATGTCTAGAAAAGGTCCTGACCTATTATCAGATATTATGAGATATGGGGGATATATTTAAGGTCATTAACTGTAATTTGGATTCAGACACAAATCTAAAAAGCTGTTGTGTGGAGAAAAGGAAGAGGGTGGAGGGCTATTGGGTGGGCGGTGGTATTTCAAATGCCACCTACTGCACCCACAGTGTGGGAGTCCCCTGGGGTCTCAACAGGAGGGACACACACTGGACTGATGGGTCACATCACAAGCAAGAACTCTTTTTTTTTTATTATATTATACTGATTATATAATTATTCCACCTTTATCTATAACATGTAACGTGTATATTTAACATATTGCTGCTGCTTTTGTATGAAAATGAGCTTTAATCTGGGCTCTGAAGTTAAAGCAACATTTTAAAAGTACCTCAAATGTTAGCCAACATATGTTAGCTATTAGAATAACCTGTGTGAACACTGTGTGAATCCTCTTTGTGTTGTCTAAAATTTCCTCACCGTTAAAGTGTTAATGTGTGCTTGTTTTTTAAAACTTGTTTTAGCATAATTTGCATCTCATTAGGTGTACCACAGGGATTGCAAAGGGAAATCCTTTCAAGGCTAAAGCCACACTCTGCAAGAAGTCTCTTGTCTGCTTGCTACAAACAGACCCACCTGCACATTGGTATACTGGGAAAGACATCTTACATCACAGCCATTGGAACGGAATAGAGATGATAAATTGTGATTGAAGAGAGCCTTTCTTATGCTGTTGTGTCTCCTGCTGTTGCTAAATTGTATACAACTAATGCAAATAACAATTATAGATTCATCTGTTGAATCATTTTTGAATTACCCAATTATCAAATACCATTAAAAAAGTGCACAGTATGATTTCTCAGAGCCAATATTGGCAAATATACTAAAAGATATTTAGTTTAATATCACAAAAGACTACAAAGACGGGCAGATATTCACTGAAACCCATTACTTTTTCCCACATCTGTGCTTTAAAATTGGCAGTTACTTAATTATAATAATAGCTGCCAATTTGTCAATCAGGTAATAGATTAATTGACTGATGTTCTCAATAAATGCAGGCCATTTCCACTGTGAGAGAAATCTGAATGCAAAAGTGCTGCTGCACCACAACCTACACCTATTAGCATATCTATATATATAAACTTTAACTTGATATAATTTATAAATAAAATAATATAAAATAGAGCTCAGCCACACATATTAACTGCATTCAGTGTATTTTTTTATGTGGGTTGTGTTATGGAGACCAGCTGGGGAGAGATGGCTTCTCCCACCAGATTATTTTATATAAGCCTGGCCATAAAAAAGGTATATTTCTATTTTAATACATGTGGATACATTCCCTCATTTCTGTGCATGTTGAGTTGAAACCAGTCCACACCGGCTCTTTCGCTTCACGCGTCGACATTGTTGTTTTTGGCACAAAGTGAATGTACCAGAGTTGAGACCGGCCAACTGTTCCACCAGTACTGCAGGCCTTTGGTGGCGACTGCTGAAGTCCTGGAGAGGTGTAAAGTGCAGCGAGGCAGTGTGTGGTGCGGGCTGGGTGATCCCTCCCACGTCTCTTTACTCATGCTGTCCCGAGGGGAGGCAGACACCCAGCCAACTGGTGTCACTGTTCTTCCGCCAAAGCCACTGAGTCACCATGAAAATGGGGCAGAGATTTGGATCTCTTGCTCTCCTTTTCACCAGCTTATCCTTTGTCTCTGTGGTTTGCTGATTTATTTTGCAACATCTTGTAGTTATTGACCGTCCACATGGGTACAACACACAACACCCACACCGATGAAGAGAGGAAACTTATTTTTGTTATTTCAGCATGAATTTATAGGTTTTTTTCCAGCTAGTAGGTGTGTGCATGTGTGCTTTGAGACTAATTTGCAGTATGTTGCTTTGTCTGATCTGATTGTGTGTCATTCATGCTCCTAATGTTTTCCCTCTGTGATGCTGACTTTTCTCTTAATTTTGTTCATCTCTCCTTTCTTATGTAACATCCTGTCGAGGGTGGGTCTATCTTCATAATATAATCAGTTATTTGGTCTTTATCACCCTCCTTTTCCATCCTCCTAAATGGTGTCCTTAACTTAAAGATTATCGTGAATATTGGCCTTCCAAAGATTAAGAGGAATTTTGTTGTTACAAAAAATTTAATTCATACAAAATCCTTACAACACTTTATTTTTTAACATTTATTGATTTTGACCTTGCGCAGATCGCCAATTTGAAAGTAGTAATCTAATATTCACCTTTCTACAACAATAAATATAATATATATATATCTTTGAAGAATTATTCATTTTTAGTAAGGCTATTTGGCTGCTTTCATTATCATACAATATACTGTTTTCATGGAGAAGCGGGAAAACTGATCCCTTGCCGCTATTTTCACAAAAACTTCTACGTCTAAGTTCCTTCCTCAAAACAAAGGTGCCCAACAGAAAAGCCAGTGCAAGCAGAACGCTTGACGTCTAAGTGGACGCTAACTAAAGGAGCCTAATCAACGTCTGTGGAAACACAAAAAACAACAACAAAAGGGTGAAAAATGTAAGCTGATGAATGTGCGCAGCATTGTAGCCCACTAAATACACATCCTGTGGACTTCATGGCGATTTTTAAAGTCGATGCAAGGCACCGACAGCCGGCAAACTGCTTTCCTGGCGTCACAAAGCCTAGAGGCAGAAGCAAAATTAAAGAAAGATTGATACAGTAAATACAGATCGCAAGAACTTTACCTGCTGTTTGACAACTAAACTCCTTTTTTCCTGCAAAAAAAATGTGTATTCTTCCCTCACAAATCTTTGGTAATAGTGTCAGACGGGGGGAGGGGGGGAAGGAGCGGGGGGGGACCAGTGAAGACACCAACTACCTGTACTTTTGTGATGTGAATATTGTTATTTCTGGTCTAGAAGATGTAGTGTTGTTCTTGGTATTCAGGCCACCCTTTTCCTTTCTCTTTTATGGTCTCTCTTGTTTTTTTCTCCTCTTGTGTACTTGGCATGTCATCCTCCTCTTTCTTTAAATTGATGTGATTATGTCAATTAGTCAGTTATGGCGGTCTTTGTGGCCACGCCTACAGATAGATAATAGAAAAAAGGACCCACTTAAATGTCCAATCCACATCTTTTTTTCCTCTCCATTATACATCTTACAGTGGGTTACAAATGGTCAAGTAACAGAGCCTAAGATAAAAAGCATGAATCCTGAAGAATCCTCTTGCCAGGCAGTAAAAGTACCACCTTCTCCAGATAATTCTCTCAAGAAGGAGACAAAGTTCAAACATACAGCTGTGTAGAAATGTCAGTGGAGGAGAACAGAACACAAAACAACATCCAGAAAGTGACAGGAATGGTATGTTTTGCAGTAAGTCAGAAAAGCAAGCAAAACCAATCCTAGTTGCGCCAGTCGTTCTGCAACAGATTGCGGTGGCTTAGTGCAAATTACTTTAATAATGCAATCTACTGTAGTTTTTTCACATTGGTTCACATGACAGAAAGAGGGAAGCACAATAACGACCCAGAAGGTTCACAAACACAAAAGTTAAACTGCCCTCGTAATGTCTCTCAGAAAGCAAACCAAATCAATGGATCAAGTTTACCATGTAACCAACGTAATCAATTTTCTTGGTTGGGTTTTTTGTTTTTTATTTGCTTGACGGTGCTTTAGATGTTAGTCGGATACTGTATTATATGGGCAGAGAGACATGAGAAAACCCCTTAGCAGAATACAGAGGTTTCCCAACACACCATAGAAAACCAGTTTGATAGAAACGAGAATTGGCAACTCTTACATGAAGTCAAAAGGTGTAAGCTAATCTGTAAACACTGCGGAAACGAAAAGGACAAGCAAAAACCTCCAAAGTACTCTGGTCTCCAATCTCAGACTTTGGGATTTTAGACTTGAAAAATGCGATAACTTGGCATTTTGAACAGCTTTCTTAAAGCAAACAGCGGCTCTCATACTTGGTCCTAAACCCAGAGTTACTAAATATGTTCTCTAATTTTTAATCATCATAATCCATCATTCTTGGCAATCCGTAAACCAGGATGCTGAGAATCCGGTTTGTTTTGTATCAATCAACAACTGATATGTATCAACATATCCGTCTACATGCCAACGACGTCTCCACATCTGTGGCGATTCAGGGTGATTGGAGGTAAAATCTGTGAGCACTCTAGAGCTGACAGGAGCACAAATGAGGTGGAACGCAAGACAGCTCGGGTTTTGAAGTGTCTTTGGAGCAAGTCACAAGTTAAGAGTTAACAGGTGAGAAGAAAAGCGAGGGCATGAGAGCCCCCGCGGAAGGGACCAACGGCCTCAGGAAAGAGCCTGAACAACTCACCGGAAATTTCGCGCGGGAAGACACGTGTCTTCAGCCAGTCTCCCATTAAATGCCCTCAACTCATCCCGTCCGCGCACCGGCATGCAAAGTCTAATGTCTTGTAGGATTTGGTGAAAACCTATGTCTTTCAAGGCTGTTGTGGATAAAGACAACTAAACTCTTAATTCCTTCTACCAAAAAGCAGCATTCAATACATCTGTTGTCTTATTAAACTATTTTTTTCAATCACAAATCGATAGATTTTTCACTGAATGTTTTTAAAAGACAGGGCTGTTGGAAGCATATATCCCGTCAATGTGAACAATTGTCCTCCCTCAATAAATAGTCCTCAAAAAAAAGTAAATCTAATGAAATACATAAATCAGAGGCTATTTTTTTTTTTTTTCTGTTAGAATGAACAAAAATTGGGTTCCACAAACGTAGCATATATGCTGCTCCTCCCAAGTGGCTTTAAAGTACAAATAAACAAACCAATATTATTAATAAGCGAGAAACCATAGTTTAATTTTTTAATGGCTTTTAACTTCATACATACCCAATACATGTTTAAGAACACAAAAGCGATCCACTGATTGTTCAGATCTCAAAATGACTTCATCTGGGGCTGCACACACTTAAGTTTTTTGTTTTTCAGGAGGGGAGGGGAGGATGCTACAAATATGCCAGCCGGCGTCCTTTGTTTCTAATTCTCTGTCTATACCTTTTCCCAAGGACTGCTGCCAGGTATTTCTTGACTGCCATTTGCTTTCGGTAGCGGCTGTAGCTGTCTGTGAAGATCCCGTCTGAGTGTCGCTTGGACAGAGGCTCTGAGCTGTCCTCCAGTGTTTTCCCCCCGCTGTGTGTGCTAGAGAGAGAACCCCGCACGAAGAGCAGAACGGAAGAGAGAGGAAGAGAGAGAGAGAGAGAGAGAGAAAGAGAGAGAGGGGGAGACATGAGGCGTTTCACTACCACCACACTGATGCATTCACATTCACATGACCCCCCCCCCTGTATCTACCGCCTGTGTTGCTGAGGTGAAGAGCCTGGACACTGGAATAAAATTCCTGGAATGAAGGCTGGGATGGGGAAATAATGAGATAATGGGACCTGCAGCCTGTAGAGCTGTGCAGAGACCCCAATCTGTGCCTTATTGAGAAGCATTTTAGGGAAAATAATCATATTTAACCATTTAGTTTAGTCTAGAAACAAAGCAGGCAGCCTGTGTGTCATTTTGCAGGAAGATTTTTGCATAAAGAATCTTTGCAAAATGATCTTACAAAGGCCTTTAATGCCAGTCCTTTGTTTAACTTTTAGCTCATCCCAGGACGATTTGGCACATATTCGACCTGCAATAAGATGTGATAGGCCTTCTCATAAGGCTAGAGTAATTGGACCTCCCCTCCTCCCCTTCCTCCCTCTCCTCCCTCCCTCACCTCCCTCCCCTTCCATCGGGAACCACTGGGACTCCATCCTATAAATTATTCATATGGAAATAAATTTAAGCCTGTGCGGGTTAATTCTTCCCTCTGCGCCTTAACGACACAGCAGCGGGCACAGAAAACGACACTTCCCAAATCAATCAAGTGCCCGTTTGTGCTCTCCATGACGATTTTATAGCCTTAATAAAGGCTGATTCAGAGGGCGAGGGCATCCAGCTTTAGCTGCACGCTGGGAGATAATGGGACCACAGACACATACATATAACAGCGTGAATTATGAGCATTTAAAGGATCAGTCAAAAAGAAAAAAACAAAACGCACATAGGACAGAAAACATTAAAGAAGAGGTGACAACCAAGAAGATGTTCTTACCCTACACGTTTTGCCATCAGAGAATGCAGATATTTCCTTGCTGATAACTGACCCAGCGCTTTCCTGTAGGCTTTATTAAACATGCCGTCTGCATGCCTTTCCGTTCTGGGATGATAGATAGCCACACAGTAAAATCACCACACACCCAGCGCAAGAGGCAACAATTTCAAGTAGCTGCACTGCAAAAAAATAGCCATCTCAACAATTATAGGCGTAATATTGGGCCTCATGTTCTGTGTTTTAATTAGGAAGGAAGTTAGAAATTGTTTTTAGATTGTTTCACTTTGTGTCTTTGTTTTCTTCGATTAATTTCCACAGAATATTTTCAACATTTACGCTGAAAATTGCCATTTTTGGAAGAATATTCCACTTATAATATCATAAACTGGATTGTGAAACAGTAATAAAGACGTTTTTGAGCTGATTTAGATTTTAATTTTACTCCTTTCACGCAATTTGAAGATGTTTATTCATGTCCATCCTTTTAAAGACAGCATGATTCAAGTCGACTAAGTTCCCCTGGGAATTCAGTTAAAACAGACTAATTTTATGATGTGTCTTTAAATAATAAATAATAATTAAAGTAAAAAAACAAAACCTTTTGCATTGTGTTGAAAGTTACTGACAACATTTCGACGATACGTTACATTGATTCACACAAAACGTACAACATACGTGGACAGAAATAGGACTAACAGCGATGAGATGTTCAACATGAATGTCTCCAACGTTGAGAGGAAAAACAAAACCAAAAAAAAGTTCAAAAAACGGCGAAGATAGTCACCTTTTCTCTGGTGGGTAATACAAAGAGTAGACGTCGTCAGCCACAGACGGGGGGCTTCTCACTTCCATTTGGTCTCTGTCATAATCCAGGGACGGTAAGGAATTTCCATCCTCATCATAAACCTCACTGTCAAGTCTAAAAAAAAAGTAGACACGTTTATCCAAACTGCGACTGAGGAGCGACAGTGCGTTCAAATAAATAATTCAGACTGAAAGAAATGATCACACAGAGCTATTTAAACACCTTTTTATGAAGTTAAATTAAAAAAGAAGCTTTATTTTATATTATAATCCACCACAAAAGTTAGTTGTTGCTACAATATTCACACATGTTTTTAATTGTGGTTGCACAAAAATGCAATTTTCTCTAAAAATCTGAACTCTAAGCCTTATTTTTTTCTACTAAAACGTTTTCTATTAATTATCTAGTCATACATTTGCGGATTAATGGCCGCAGGACACATTGAGACACTGTACTCCACTGCCTCAGCAGCCTAAATTACATTACCGCCGCTCCCTGGTGGATGTTTGTGCGCAATTATTTCTGTGTGAGCAGCCCTATGGACTGGCTGTCAGATGATGTTATCCAGTAATCCAATAGGCTATTATAGCCACTAACTGTGAGCCAGATATGGTATTTAGCCTGCACCCTGCTGCTGAATTCAAAGAGACAAAACCAACACCTGAAAAGTGACACTTTAACGGTAAGTAAGAGTGTACGTACCTAACACTGGGAAAGCTAAGCCCCACAGGTGAGCAGTGGACGCTGTAATGCATTATGATTCCATAGATGAGTAAGGCTAAAGTCGCTTTACTAGACATTGTCCTGCTGCGAAAAGAAAAACAAAACGACATTAAGTGAGTGAACAGGGGTACAGTCACACGTAAGAACAATTCTTTGATGCATTCAGGTGGATTCTACTGTCTCCTGTAATATGTAGCCACTTTAACATCACACCTGTGATAGTTTATAAAAGCAAAAACTTGACTCTCCTTCAATCGCTCCCTACTTTTACGCTGCGTAAAACCCCAGAAAAGTGGCTCCTCTTACCAGTTAGGCTCGACGCGATCCGCTGAAGACCTCAACTGGGAGAGTGAGATAGGACCTCTATCTCAGTCTCTCTCTCTCCCTTCCGCTCCTCTTCCTCTATTCCCTCGGAGAAGCCTCTTCTTCAGTCTCCTTGTGCTCGGTCCGAGTGCGCGGCTCAGTTCTCGGGGGTTTCTACGTGTACTCGGTCATGGGCGGAATGAAGAGCGCCAAACATTTGTCTGCGGAGAACTTTCCTGCGTCCTGTGAACTTAACTCCACTCGGTTTTTTATTCATGAATCCGAAAGGCATGCCTTTTTCACTTGTCACGTAGGTGGGCGAGTTGGAGAGAGGGGGGGGGGCGGCTGCGTCATCGCCTCCCCCCCCCACCACCACTACCTT